AGTGAAAAACAACAATATAATAAATTTAGAATTTAACGAACTGTTTCTTTGTAATAAAACAATCTATGGCATAAACAACAATTGTAAAAGATACAATAATATTAAAATTTGTAACAAATCAAAAATTGTAAACTTGAACACTAATAATTGTATACCTAAGTTAGTTAGTGGAGAGCAAGCGCACTGTGGCTTTAGCAATGCAGATCATATCCCGGAGATCGAGGAAATCGACGATGGACTTATACTAATGAACGACTTCAACGGCACTATTAGATGGCAAGAAGAGAAGAAACGCGTGAGAGGCACCTACATGATTAACTTCTGGAACGAAACCTTATTCATCAACAAACAAGAGTTCAGCAACCTAGAGGTCACCTTCATGACCCCAGGAAATCCCACAATACAAATAACCCCAATAGAAAACGAAAGAATTAAGATTCTTTCTCTGGAAGCATTAGAAGAATTGCACATCAACAACATAAAAAACATGCAAAAACTTCAGACGCACTCTATAGCAAATAGAGTCGGTTTCATAACTCTGTTCACAGTTGCCATCCTTCTTACCTGTGTATTACACGTAATGAAGAAAAATAAGAAAAATATAATACTGCAACTGAACAAAGAACAAGAGAGACCCAAAAAAGAACCAGTACATATCCAAATACAAAATACAGATGCCAATAACCTCAGGTTCAACAACATACCTTTCTTCTGATGATCGCTTGAGGACAAGCTTAAATCAAAGGGGGAAGAGTTAACAACAAATAAATTCATACAGTCCCAATAAGAAGCATTGCAACACCTCATAAGAAGTGCAGCAAAATGCTGACTTGGTGTCTGTGCCATTTCCTCCACGCGCCGACTGGCAACCGCCGAAAATTCCAAGAAGAATTGCCCAACGGGCCAACAACATCAGCAGCGACGCCGCTGCCAACGCCGCTGCCGCTAAGCCACAGGTTACTAGGGCTAGAATTGATTTAAGTTTATTCAGTTGCAAATTACCATCAAATAAAGGAAGTCTTGCTTCCCTAAAAAATATATTTTTTTCATCGTTTAATAAACTTTGGAATTAACTTACATAAGCCCTAGCAACTAAGTGCACCAAATATGTAACACGAGACACCCCAATTTGTAACAATAAACCTAGAGCCCCAAAAATCATAAATTCTTAGTGAAAACACAATCGTTATTCCCACCAAATGCCCAAATTGTCAACGCAGCTCAAATTCAGGCTATTAGAAACTCATTAAACAGAATGAGAGCATTGTTTAAAGAGACCGAGCTCATGATCTTGAGCCTTCAGCCGAGGTTTGCTAAGCGTTGACAAGACTTTAATAATTGAGTTCTACTGACGACTTCGACCCGTCAAGTTGCATCGTAATTTTTCTTTATTACTACTAAAGCAAACGAGCGCGTAGCTCGAGCTGCATTTGGTGTTGGAAGAAAAGGGGTTCAGGGTATCCCCTTGTCGGGAGCTCCCGACTAGAACCTCTTACTTGTTTTTCTGCTTGTTCTGTTCAAGCATTATTCTAGCTCTTTTATATGCTACTTCTAATCTATATTTTGGCTGCTAAGCGTAATAATCTGCATTATATAAGGGCTCAATGTGTTCATTTATACTATTAAATGCCTTATTAATGTGTTGGGGTTTTTACAAAGAATTAGTTCGTATGGACTGTAGTAATGCGTTGTCGATGGGGTTGTTTTAAAACAATATACGGAGTATTGTAGGCAAATATCCCAATCAGTTTTATCAACTGATATGTAGGAACGAATGAAATCGTTAAATTTTCTATGGCTTCGCTCTACTGTTCCCAAAGTCTGGTGGTGGTGTGCTGTTGAAGTTATTTTTTTGGTGCCAAGGTATTTATATAAATCTTCTATAACTGAGTTTTTTGTATTCTGTTCCCATGTCCGTAATGAACGTTTTCATTGGACCATATTTCAGAATAAAATCTTAAAATATAGCTTTAGCTATAGTTTTTGCACTTTTGTTTGGCACAGGTATTGCTACAAGGTAAATTGTTAAGTCACATATCAGTGTAACTGCATATTCATTACCTTGCTCTGATTTTGGTAGTGGACCGATCGTGTCTACTTTTTTGTTTGTTTATTGTATTGGATCAGAAATAGCATAAATTTTTATTACAACCAGTTGGCTTAGGTGATGTTTTGTCTATAACTAATCGCCATCTCTTGATATCGGAACCTGGTAATCCCCTTTTTGGGACAATAAGTATAGGGCTGTTATATTCCGATACAGACGGTTTCACAATTTTATCCGAGATGAGTTTTTCGACTTGATTATTAACTTCTTCTTTATGAGTATGAGGAATTCTGTAATTTTTAATGTACCCCGGCTCAGTATCTTTTAGTCTTAGTTTCTGTTTATAAAAATTATTGGTCGTTCTGGATTCGGTTTCGAGTCCGAATATGTCTGTGTACTTGGTGAGTCTGTGTACTAATTGTGTTTTAAATAATGGGGGAAAGTTCTATTTTAGTTTTTCCATCACCGTTTCTTGGCGATCTTTGCTAATTTCATGGACTGCTTCATAGTCACGTCTAATGTCATTAAGGTTTAGTATTTTTACTAAACTTGTGCTGTTTAGTATTGGGACAAAAGCTTGATGATTATTGGAAATTGTATTTCCGATGCAGATTCCTTTATCAATTTCTTGATTTGGATGAAAATATTGTTTTCTGGTGAAGAAATTTTAATCTGACGGACTACTTTAGAACGAGCTGGAATGGTATTGTGGCAAGACCTGAACAATTGTTTTGCTAAGCCTAGTATTGGATTGTCAGGGCTCATAACCTTAACATGAACGTATGGTGATGTTTGTAAGACAACACCTTTTGCTATTTTACTGTAATGTATCAAAGGGGATGTTGGTTTCTCATACTTGTCAATATATTCATTCTCAAAATCATTGATTGAGATGGATACTTTATACTGCCTCAGAATTTGCAATGAATTTAAAATGAAGTTTGCGTTATTAATGTAAACTCCATTTATTTTTCTTTGTATATTAATGTTATTATTATTTTCATTTTGTTTTTTAAACTTTCTATAGATCATTTGCACGACTTAAGTATCGTTTCCTCAATGTTCGCTTGTATATAAGATTCGCTTTGAACAACATATTCAAAGCTGTAAGGGCTACTAACTTTTGAAGTTCTAGTTAGAATGAAAAATATTTAAGGTGTATATAAAAATTTCATTGAAATATAGTTTTTTTTTCTTATGTTTTTCATTTTACGAAAAATATAATATTCCTACTAAACGGTTATCAATCAGTTAAGAGAAAATCTTTCAGGTGCCTTCTTTTTTTTTTTAATATAAGTCTAACAAATTTTTTTTTCGTCAATTATTATTAATTTCTAATTTTTTTAAAAAAAATTTTTTCACAAATTTCTATCTAAAGTTTGTGTGGCTTTACGGGCCGCACTCTTACCGGGCAACGCAATTATTGCTCAGTTTTACATTATTTTTAACAATAATAGTAAAATAGTTATTTAAAGTAATTAATATAGACCCTCGGCTGGATAGGCGGCTTGGCGTCGCCGGATGTGGCACGCTGATGCTCCTGCGTTGGCGCAAGAGGCGGTATGCCTCTCGCACTTGTTGCTATTTCCGCTGCAGTCTTCGTACAGGTTTTTGATTGATTGTTGCTGCTCTTCTGGCAGGGGTATAGGCAGCGTACACTGTATAGCCGCATTGGTTGCGATTTGTTGTTGTTCTCCCTCGGCGAGGAGAGGTATTCGTTTATCTTATGTTGCTGTTGTTGTCATGCTGGTGACTGCCTTTGGTTGGCCTTTGGTTGCCCGATAACCGGTATATAGTTATTACCGGGCGGATAGTGCGTATACTTGTGGTCCACTTTGTGGCTATCTGTTTACTTTCATGCACCACAAGTATGTGAAATTTAATATTTGTTTTAAATTGTTCTTGAATTGCACACACAGTGACGACAGCCATGTCACGGTCGCTATATAAAGTATTCTCTGTGTAAGTTTGAATAAAAACACCAGCACGTCAGTGCCGTTTCGCTTTGATGTTTAGAATGAATTTATTGTGTTCAGGAATGTACTTAGCCTATGGATAACAGCTACAAAGAGAGAGAGAGAGAGAGAGAGAGAGAGAGTGTGTAGCTTGCATATGCCTGTGTTAGTGAGCATGTAGAAGGAGCGTGGGATATGCAGCGTAAGCATAAATGGTCAGCTAGAGGGCTAGTGAACCGCGCTGCGTAATATGAGCCAGAGCCAATTCATTCAACTGGCTCTGGGCTGTTTAGTGTATAATTGTTATTGTATGCAACAAAGTGCCGCATACTATATATTTGAAAACAGGATGTTTATTTGAGGCATATACACTCTACACCTGACCCTTCTTCTAAAAACACAAAGTGTTTTTTATGGTACGAATCAAACTTTATTGATTCTCTTAGACTGAAATACGAGGGAATATTTTCCTAAGTTCAGACCCTACTCTACACTTCAGCGGCGACGCCGGCATAATGCTGACCATGCATTTCCGCAAGTGCCGCAATGTCTCGGCTGGTTGGTCCGCTTACTTGGGGCTACGGACAAAATCTGACTCAATGCACACGCCTAATCGTTGCTGGGCCTTTCCGACAACAATTGAGAACTGCCTGCAGAAGATATGTGATATTGTAGCACTGCAGATGTCTACCGCCTTCGCATTGTTGCATTCTGCCATAATGTCGCGGTCCAAAATCTGTATAGTGCAGCTTAACCTTAGGGTACTTAATGAGGAAATTAACTACATCGCCGTCCAATGCAATTTTTACGTCAGCAACCTGTATGAGCTCGCTCACGCTAACATTTGCAACCTGACTGGAAATTATGAGACTCAAATCTTCGGGGTAAAAAATTGTGAGACTTTACTCGTCTGCCGCGTTTTGGCCACTTGTCGGCCTATGTCAGCCCGTGTCGGCTGTTATGCCCCCTCTCCCCATCAAGTGAGACTTAGCCGGACATTTCTCTCTTCAATATGTGCGTATAATTGGTTGCATTCCTTATGATTATTAAAAATTAATGTTTCTTATCTCTTTCTTATTTATAAGGTGTCTCCATTAAGATAATTCAGTTTTCATGCACGTGAACATTTCTTCGTATTAATGTTGCATATACTTATGATTATGGACAATGTGTATTAATTTCTAAATTTTAGATTATAGAATTCATTTTTTTATTTGAACAGCACTAAATGGAACAGGCGACGAAACAATGCAAAGATATTGCTAGTCGCCGCAAAAAGAGACAAGCAAGGAAGCAATTTTGAGGCAATCGTTGCGCCGATTTGGGAACAATGTGCCCACACAAATACTTAGAAACCATGGGGGGTCTCATGGTAGGGCGGGTAGGCTGGGTCCAGAACCGGGACCCGATCTCGAAAAGTAAAGTGGATAAATAGTGTTTTTTTGTTAATTTATATTAGAGCCTCACCTTTGCTTGTTTACATTTATCTGTCGCAGCTGTTTATGTTGTTCATTTGTTAGAAGTTCCGATTGTATGTTGTTATCGATTATGTGGCTCATTTTGAATAGTGTTGTATAGGTATGTTTTGCTACAGACGTTGTAGCTTTGTTGTTATCACTAACCAAATAACATATAGACTGGTCAAACCGTATATTTGGTGGTGACAATCTTTTTTTTTGCGGCTGGTCCAAAGTCGCCTTCGTTTTTGTTCGGGTTTGACCAGTCTATATGTTATTTGGTTAGTGTTGTTATCGGTTGTATGGACTGCGGGCCAGGGATGGGACCACACCCAGAGAAACCGATGAGCCGTAACAAATGGCAAGAATTGTCTGTTCATGACTTAGCAAATATCTAGCATGGCCATTCAGTTTTGTAGTAATAATGCTTACAGCAGCTAATCCATCAGTGCCTTGTAACGAATTTATTAGATTCAATGCTTCCAAGAAACTTTGTAGGTTTCCTGCCTTTTCAACAAATTCTGGTGTCAGCGATTAGGCTAATTTTAAAAACTCTACTACTGTATGTATGTGCCATGGTTAGGTTGAGATCAATGATTTCTATTTGTTCAATTGATTCTTCACCTATGTATCTCCTCTAGTGTTTCTATGTCAGTTTCTGTCTCTGATTCGTTACTTTGTTGATAATCTTTTTTCGTATGCATTAACTATTCCTACTATATTATTGTATTCATTTTAAATTATTGGTATGTGGTGTAATAGCGTTTTGACTCTTATATTTGCATTTTTGTTTATGCATTTATATGATCTTTCGAATCTGTTTCGAAATTCATCTATTTGTCGCGCTATTGCACTCTATTTCATAACTTTTTATATATAAAAATTTTAAGAAATATAATTATCTGTGCATACGAACTAAAACTTTGGTTGCTGTCCCTAGAATGTGATGTTCTTCACTAACCATTTTTACCTTTACATATGGTAAAGTATCTAAAACTATTTCTTTCTCTAGTTTAGAACAACAAAAAAGTGGGCTTGCTTCTACGCTATATGTTTCCATATATTCCTGTTCAAATTGATGTATTCGTATGAATTCCCTGTCTTTGTAAAATTTGTATGGCCTGCATACGGAAGTTTGGATTGTCGGTGTAAATTTGATTAATTTTGTTTTCAGCCATGCTGACAAATATAAAAAATGTATGTTGTTTCTAGGTTGTTTGCTCTGCTATGTAACGTTTCTTTATAATGTTGTTATGTTTTATATATATGGTCAATAGAAATTGACAAACAGTTACAATAGTGAGGATGAGCAAAAGGATCCACAGTGATTGAATTAGTGACCACATTGGCCGTATTGTCTTTGGACTCGCTTGAATCAGCACCGAACCAACCCACCGCTATAATATTTTTATTTGTTGGAAATTTTCTTGAAAATATGATCGGACATTTAATTGTATAAATGAAAATTGTGCAAAAATCGAAAACATAAAATTAAAAAAAAAAAAATATATATACATATATCTTCTTTTTGTTTTTTCTTGAAAAATATGATATTAAAATAAAATAAATATTCTTGAAAAATATGATCGTGCGTTTAATTGTATTAATGAAAATTGTGCAACAATCGAAAATATATATATATCTTCTTTTTAATTTTATGTTTCCGATTTTGCAAAATTTTCATTTATACAATTAAATGTCCGATCATATGTTGTTAGTAATGTTGATAGAGAACTTATTATAATGGCAAAGTGAGGCATTCGCATTTCAGCAACCATTTTGCGTTACTTCGCTCTTTTTGAACGAAGTTGCTTGTTGAGTCTTGTCGGTCTTCTTCATCTGTATGCGTCTTCAATAGGTCCAGCTCCAGACGTCTTTGCTGTAACAGCCGCTTGGTTCGGCCGCCACGCTGTGTGCAGTGTTTTCCTCTATAAAGTCGCTCATGTGTTGTCTTTTGCCATGTAATATCTTCGTGGTGCCGTTGTTGTTGTTGTTGTTGTACTGTTACTGCTGGTGCTGTTGTTATCGTTATTGTTGTTGTGCTATGACTGCTTTGGGGTCATGCTACCCGATAGCGGGTATATATATATCAAAGGGCGGATAGTGTGCATAATGTAACACTTGTAGTCCGCCATGTAATTAGTTCCGCTTTTGTGGCCAGCTTGTTTAATTTAATGCACCATAAGTATGTGAAATTGATATTTATTTTAAATTGTTCATCATGAACTGCACACACAACGACGACAACGACGAGCGACCGACAACGCCTGTCACGGTCGCGATGTAATATTTTCCTTTTAATATTCAACACTTCTTTTGTCATGCGGATCGTCTACTTTTTCTCTTTCGTCTTCTTTTTTAATTCTGATTTATTCTTTTATGCATGAAATGGACTTAAGCTAAATACATAATGTTCTTATTCTATTAGTTCTATATATATGTTTATGCAGAAGGCATAAGCATAAGATACATACAAAGCGAAACCAACGGCGCGCTGGCCGCAAAGTGCATGCTCAGCGTTTCTCATGCGCTTCTATCGGTCTGCACATAAGTGGCTGATCGAGCTTCAAGTGCGCTGGAATGTTTATATGTTTATGTGTGGTTGCTTTAAAGATTTAGTTATGTTTATTGCGACAAAGTGTCACAAAATATATTTTTCTTAGATACACTACAATATGTTGGGTATATATGTAACTACAGCGCTATAGATTTACTGTTAAGCGGTGGTGCGTTTACAACGTCTATACCAAACTGATTATAACTACGAAGTTATAATCTCCGAATTCTTCTTGTTATTCTTCTTTGTTACAGTCAATGATTTTTGTCCTGGGAAAGATATAGCAAAATTTGTATGATTGAAATTTTTACGTCGGCTATTGTTCGAGATATTATTGGATGGAAAATAGTCAAAACAAGAAGTGCTTTTTGCCCGTTCAATAAATATCTATGTGGCGCTGTATTTTCCTGTGCTTACGGGTGTCTGCCATACTTGGCCCTAGTACAGTATCTGTTGGAAGTTTTCGTGTTTTCGGTAATGTCATCAGCTATGTTCTTACAATACTAGAATCTGGTTGATGGGAAAGCTTTTACTACCTCATGCTGTATGGCAGCTAATGTCGGATGGGCGCAATTTATTCAATTCACGACATCTGGTTTTATGCACTCTTTTAGTGACTCAAAGGCTTTATCTTAAACGGTGAAATATATTGTGTGGCGCACATTTTGGCCAAGCACAATGAACTTGCGTTTTAACAGAAACCTTGCTTCTTCCAATATTACCTGGTTTCTTAAACAGCTTAGCTCATTTTTCTGAGGCCCCGATGGTGTACGAGAGTGAGACTTAGCTATTAATGCGCACACTTCAGCTACTTTTCATTGGTGACATAACGAATTTCGTTTTCTTTAATCGTTCTGGAAATCCTGAGTTTGGCTTATCACCTTGTGAAAACACTGCCCTAAGTCCATATTCAGAGGCGTCTGTCGTAACGGAGAATAGTCTTAAAAATGTCCTAGCTAGTCCTAAAAATGATCTTATTGAGAATAAGCTGTCTGGTTCTACAAACTCTTGGATAGCTTCTTGCGCCGCCTAGTGAAAACGAACCCCTTCCCTTATAATGATGTCATCTTCAACGTAAATATAGCGTGTTCTGCCAATTATTTCATGGAGGACATCGTCACTTGACATGCGAAATCGATCTGCGATAGTTCGCTCGTTTAGTTTGCGAAAGTCAATAACCTAAAGTTTGTTCCTGCTACCCAAAGCATCACAACCTTTCCTAATAAAAAAACCCAAGTGGAGTTATTGTAGGGCAATCTAGAAGGGCAAATTATTCCGTTTCGCAACAACTTTTTTATTTCAATATTGACGGAATCTGGTACCTCTTGGGGTGCGGGTATGATTTCGAATATACCGGGCAGTTGTCCTCAGTAAGGATTGTTTCAACAACAGACGATTTGAAAGGAATTCACTAGAAGTGGAAAATCCTTGAACACCGGCTTAAAATATTTTTTGCTTAATTCTGCTCTTACCGAGTCCGGCCCCACTATATCGTTTAAACGAGTGAAATTAACGCCATCACAGCTGCGGTACCGTGTCTCCATAATCTTCAGAGTTGTAATGTGCTCCTACCTGTGTTAGCAATTCGATTAAGTATATTAGCGAAATAGGATTTTTTTCCAAAATTGTTCAGGTAGATTTTGTTATCAATTTTGTAAGAACCATGTATTGAACTATCGTTCAAGCTGCTTTACGGCCTCAATGTAGCTCTTAGCCGCCCAGACATCGATCAGGAACTTTAATTTTCTCCCAACCAACTGCCACTCGGCAGCCGGGAGTATCCGCTTACAAATTAGGAGAATCGGTTTTGCTATGTCTAGGTCCTGTCAAAGTGTTCTTAAAATCGTCTTCAAGGAATCTAGTCTGGCAGTTATGGCCTTAAAGTTTAACAGCCTGTTATGGAATGTCAGATTTCTTTTCGCCCCGTTTTCTTGTTTTTAATAATAGCCACTGCCTGAAAGTGTCTGGAATTGCCGTAATCTTCTTGTTTGCATGAAAATGCGGGCACGGACTTTACCATGGCCAAAGGTTCGTTACACTTTACACCAGGTTGTATTGCAACCTTCTGCTCACTTGTAACCGACCTACATTTTCTCCAACCTGTCCCAACTCCTGTTTGAGCTCCTGTCTGTTTGCTCTGTTTGGCAAGCGCAGCGTTAATCTAATATTGGTCGCAGACTTTGAGTGTCCATATTTTGTCTCTGGGGGTTCCTTGGGGTAATTGATTCTTCGTCACTGTCGGACGAAGATATCGCTCCGTGCGGATATCGCTCCGGTATTTTGTCGAGCTAAACAATTTAGGGCTGACAATTACAAATCTTGTTACTAATGTTCGGTTTATAATGCCAAACAAAAAAGAAAAATCCAGCAAGAGCTCTTTTAATCGGATTTGGCTTACGGAATTTGATCTCGACTGCAGCTGATGAAAGAGTCGCGATTTTAAGTGCTACTTATGCGGAAGCCCTTAATGCACGATCACTTTAATTAATTTTTATTTAAATATTGATTATTGGTTTCTCTTTAACTAGGCATTTTAATAATATTGTTTACTAGATATGAAAAAAGGGATATGTCTTCCTTCGGAACTTGGTTGGCACTACAAATGATAAATTTATCCTTGGACCTCGAGCCAGCTAATTTAATATTTAAAAATTAAAGGTCGCCCAAAACAGTTATAAATCGTCAATTTATTAAAAAACTTTTAATTAAATATATATATATAACTGTTTATTCTGTCTAACTAGTGAGCAACGTACAGCCCTAATCGAGAGAAAGCGCGCAACCTCCGCTGAATCAGAGCATTTAGCAGCAAAGAACAGCTACAATAGAATAGGTGCGTACATTTCTGGTGACCTTTTTCAATGGTACAGTGGGCCAAGTCAGGAATTACGGTCAGCTGGTCCCTACAATGATCCGGCTGGAAGCTAATTCGCAAAGATTTTTAAGAAAATTAATTTTAGACGTTTTTTACAAATGTTGCAAAATGAAATCCTCTTCGGTTGAAAATGCTTGTCAAAAATTTGATGAATATGTGTTTCTGCGAATTTGGAAAACGAATGTATTATCGTTTTTTGTATACCATTCAATAGGCTTCAAAATAATGTTTAGACATCTTTGTGAAAATAAATTTGAGACGTATTTCACACATTTCAAATCCTCCTCTCTTGGATGAGAAATGCGGGTGAAAGTTTATAAGAATTTGGGTGACAAACTTTAACCTTTCGAAGTGTTTAAAATTTAAAGCAAAAATTCTTATTCTTTTTGAACTGAATAAGGGGTGTCTGGTGTCTATTTCACTAAAATTTTAATCATATTTCACTTCCTGCGGCGGAAATGAACTTTATTACGTACTTTATTAAATAGAGGCAATTAAAAGACTGCCGAAGCCGCGGCAGCAAAGTTACCGCGTGTCGTGTAGTAATGATCGTTAGTGGCTTACCAACTATCACAGATAACAGAAAATGGCAGTGATATATATAACCGTGACTTCTGCCCACACTTTTTTATTAAGAAATGTAATAGTAAAATGTAAATAAGTAAACTAAAACAAATGTTATATTATGGTATAAATTATATATATTTTTATTACATTACATTTAAAGTTATAAAATGTGTTAATTAGCGTATAAAAATATTACAATTTGAACCTTTCCGTCACATAAAAAAGAGGCTAGTTTGAGAGAAAAGTATCTCACTTAACACTGAGAAGCTTAAGCAGCAACGGCTTTGCCGCGCGGTAGTAATGAGAATTGAAGCCCTTTCTGTTTCCACCATTTCATGAAGTCTTTCACGTGGCTTGAAAACGCCTCCCACAAATATCGATCAATTTCGTATTTGCATTTGAAAGAGGTGACTTTCTTTGGCCTGGATGCCTATAGAGTTAAACTCAACTTTGGTTTACATTAAATATATTCTCAAAGACACCTTCATGACAAAAAGTTAATGAAATATGTGCAAAATTAGTTAAACTAGGAACTTTTATATGAACATTTTTCTATGCCTATATTACATTTGGCACATCTGTCATAAACCTTCGTAGTCTCAAGATTGCACTTGTTTTTTACCTTGAAACCAATTATACGGTTTTATAGTATGTGTAACAAGCAGATAGAAGCATCTCAATCCCATTAAAGTATATAGTTATGTTCAGCATCAACGTCCGCCAAATTCGAAATGCATTTTTAAAATAATATACTTTGTTCAATTATCTTATAGCTAATAGCAAAAGTCATTCAAGAGCACAATAACATAGACAGCAGGAACTAGTTACTTTTAAATACTAGTTACTGTTAGTGGGTTGAGCAAATATTGCTCATCCCTATTATTAAGAGATATTGAATTGTGGGTTAGGGGCAATTGTAACATAAGTGACGTATACTGCCAACTAACTCCACACTTAATATATGTAGGTGGTAACTTACAACAAAAAATAATCTACTTAACATTTTCTGTGCAGGGGCAGTAATATGACTGAAATCTGTGAACCCTTAACCTTGGCAAGGGGTGAGGCATATATGTATGTATGCTCAGTTAAGAGTCTTATAAATTAATTATCTTTACAGATGTAAAAAGGTCAATAGAGTTATTAGAAAAACTTCAGGCTAGCGGAGATTTTCCAACAACAAAATTAGCCGCATTACAAAAAGTTCTAAATTCGGATTTTTTGAACTCTGTGCGTGAAGTCTATGAACATGTTTACGAAACAGTTGATATACAAGGCTCACACGATGTTCGGGCATCTGCAACAGCTAAAGCAACTGTGGCTGCTTTTGCTGCCAGTGAAGGCCATGCACATCCAAGAGTTGTAGAGTTGCCAAAAACAGAGGAAGGTATGTATGTATGCATTATACTCACCTAGCTAGCTTACCTTTGGATGCAATGTTTAAACATATGTATCGATTTATGTAAGTCGTAATAAGTAATGAGCAAAACATAAGATACGGTATATTGATTGCGATTTCGCAGAATGGAAGCGACTTGTCATCAATTTCAAATAAACTGGATATTCGAGTGCTATACGGGGGACCCAAGTAACAATTATGAAATTTGCTTTCAATAGTCAGTAGATTCGAAGTTCAAGCAAGGATATACACTGCGCACAATCCAGTTAGCACACCCCGTTAGATAAAACAAAATGGCTTAGAAAATAAACAAATAAAAAATATAGTTCAACTTTGGTCATCAGGTTAGCACATCCTACTTTTTTAAGTTTTTAAGCCATGAACTTATTTCTAAACTTTTTTATTTATTAACTTAAAGGTTTTGCAACAAATTGGTCATAGCAAAGACAATATAAACACTAAGATGAGTAACGCCCATACATTTGCATGCGACGAAAAATTTCATGCCTGGCGTTTCATCTGGCGTTTGAGTTTTCGCACGACATGCCAGCCGACTGGCTATTCGTTCTCCAAAAGCCAAACGAAAGAATGCCGAAGTCGCGGCTTGCTGATGCTGACCCGAGCAACGAAGTTAGTCGCCAGCCTGCCTTCAGCAAAGCTGGTTGATGGTGCTTTGCGTCGCTTCGTTTTCGAAGTACATTGAGCGAAAAGTTTTAAACTTACGATCGACGCAAAGTACTTCTGATTTATCCATGAAATGCATGCTTTATTTAAATGATACATTACCCTAGATACTAATTACATATAAATTTTGCAGGAAAAATTAACAATAAAATATTTTTTTACAAGACGCAACTTGTGCAATAAATATGTTAAGAAATTATCACACATAGATTTATTTCACTTTTGTTTTCGGAATTATGCATGCATAACTACATCAAAATATGTATATGTATATGTTATTCACTTCCTTGGCTTTGGCTGGTGAAGAAATAAATTTTGTTTTCTAGCGCTGATCATGCACGACCTGTTCCAAATTTGTATTCACATATGAATGCATGTTGTGTACTGAGGTTTTTAAAGTCGATGCAAATATTTATATAATACCTTTAAATTAACTTATTAATTAAATTACTATTATTTTTAAGAAATAATAGATATGAAATAAAAATAAATTTGGGATAGGTGCATGATCAGCGCTAGAAAACTAACAAAATTGATTTCATTGCCAGCTAAAGCCAGAGCTGTGAATAGCAACACATTGAAATATGCTGTATGTATACTAACACACATACAAACATAATTGCTTGCACGGCTTTCATAGAGCCGAAGCGCAGTGTACATTCTATTTTTAGCTTTTCGCTCTTTCGGCTGTGAGAGCGCAATGGTACTGATTTCGTTTTCGTTCTCAAATTTCAAAAAAGTTAGCTGCATAGGCATTTCGTTGTATGGCGTTACTCATCTTAGTGTTTATATTTCCTTTGGTCATAGTCAATTTTCCCTTATTGAGTATAAGCTCATAAATTCGATTATGAATCGATTTGTACAAATGCTGAATATAGTCAAAGGAACTGGTTGACCAAGCGCGATTCATATCTTCAATAAGATCTAACTTGCTGGAATACTTTTTTCCGGAAACTTAAACTCTCTGAACCAACCACACCCGTTTTATATTAATTTTAATTCGGATGAGAAAGGCGGCCTCTGCATTAAACTTACATTTTGAAAATCCCCAAATATAATTTTAAAAAGCTGTTTCAAGTACATCATTATAAGTTTTTGCATTCATATTTGACGTAAAAAACTGTACCTCGCATGTCCCACAATAGGAGATGGCTCCCACACCATCACACCTCCCACTCGACTATGAAGCTGTTTCAACTGGTGTTGTTTGTTGCGTAAATTATGGCCCATCAGCGCTCTTTCAAAATTCTAACTCATTTCCTTTTGAGCTACATGGAGAGTGTGTTTTTTTTTCCTTTAATTTTAGTCTTCTTAAATGTAAAGCATTTATTATTATTTGTTAAATGGTTGATAACCTCGCTTTAGCACCTTTGCGGCAGTCATAAAAGTTGGACACTTCTCTCAAAATAGTTTTTATAGTAGCATTAGAATCATTCTTTTATTATCGACATTATTATTTATACCATATTCTGACTAGGAATACGGATATAACTTTTCGGCTTCTAAGTATTTTTTTGTTTTTTTCACTTATTGACAGTCCTGTATCTCCTTGTAAACTTAAATTTTTGCTTTTTCTTTCACGGATAATGGTTTTCCTCTACTCATATTAATGTAATATGAGTTGTCTTTAGCTGCGAAAATGTTGGTCGTGCGTGGCGAATATTTGAGATAAACCAGAAGGAATTAGAATCTTCGAACCTGATGACGGGAAAACGAAGCATAAAATAAAATAGCAAAAACTATATAACGGGATCTTTCCATCGCTTGCTCATTTTTGTCATTGAGAGAGTATACGAAGATGACAAAAGCAAAATAAAAAGTAGCTGTTTTTTAACAAAGAACAGAAGAGCAAATTATTTAATTTGATTTAAGGTGTGCTAACCTGGTGACTTTGAACTCCGAGTCATCATTTACTCAAATAAGAAAAGCTCATTTGTGCTCTAGTTGGGAGTGCCCGACTAGGGAATACCGTTAACATTCCATCATGACCAAAAGCTGCTCGCGCTCAGCGTTCCTTTGCCGCAGCATTAATAAAAATAAATTGACTAAAAATTAAGTTAATTAAGTAAAGTAATTTCAACCAACCGAACTACTTTCCAACTTATACTCCACAGCTATAACAAGATTTGGGGTTCAACATCAAAAAATTAAATTAAAATAGCAGCAGTTAATTAATACAATCACAATTGCAATTCTTTTTGTGTGTATGCATGTGTTGGTTACAGAAATTCTTGCGCTTTCATCTAGCGCCCGCTGACATGTGGCTTGCAAATTCCACATCGGCAGAAAGTGTTCTTGTGAGAATATTCGTATGATCTCAAAAAGACAACAGGATTAAAATTGTGGATTAAATTGGTTGATAGTTCCAATAGATTTATTTATTTGATTTATTTAGGGTGGCGATAGCTAAAATATAAAAGATACTTGATCTGTATATATAAAAATGTGATTTCGAAATAGATTTTTATCGATTGCCTAGAAACGGAGCAAGTTATCGATTATCTGAAACAGACTCGTCAACATTTCAAACCTCTAGCTCTTATAGGTTCTGAGGTCCTTTCGTTCATACATACGGGCTGACAGAAAGACATACGAACATGGCTAGACCGACTCGGCTATTGATGCTGATCAAGAATATATATTCTTTATGGGGTCGGAGATGCTTCTATTTTCCTGTTATTTAAATGTTCACAAAAACATTATAGCATTGTCAATGGACTCAGGGTATAAAAAGAGTTATTTAAAGTATTTGGTCTCTGCTCATGTTTAGACATGTTCATGTCATGGATGTCATGTCATCATAATGCAGATTTAATATATAGATATATATATATATATATATACATGTACCTAAATGCATAATCAATTTTCTGTTTATTTTGCAATATATCTGTATCTTATGACCTGCTAGTATTTCTTATAAGTCGTATAATAATCAATTTATTATAAGTAATATTTAAAATAATTTTGATTATAAATAATAGAGGCATAGTTTATATCTGACTTTTCTTTCAGGTTTGGGCTTCAATGTCATGGGGGGCAAAGAGCAGAATTCTCCCATTTATATCTCGCGAATAATACCAGGTGGCGTTGCAGATAGACATGGAGGCCTAAAAAGAGGAGATCAGCTGCTTTCAGTAAATGGAGTGGTAAGCTAACACTATGTCATAGCGACTAATCGGTGGGGCGGTCTAGAGGCTAGAGGATAACCTGAACCTTCATATTTGCGATACCATTAATAAAAATAAATTTAAAAAAAATGTAAGTGACCTCTGCAGGTGTCGAACTCCCAAACATCTTTAACCGACCGAACTCTTGCAAGCAGCACATTCACCAAGACCAGAATTAAGATAGACACGCTTATAAACATATGTGAACACATGTAATATAATCACAAGCTTTCTTTAATGACTTCTGTGATTCTTAACCGATCTTGATGGTCTTACTGTGATATAGAATATACGTAAATTCTCTCTCGTAAATTCATAAAAATATGGTTACTCTAGCTCTTAAAACATAAGAGATTTGTTCAAAAAAAGTTATCGATATCGACTTTTTTTCATTGTTTGAAACGGGTATCGATAATCAGAAACTCGTACTGCGCGAGCACTAGGAGGACCTACCCTCACAAACCCCGTCTTAGGGGTCTATATGTATGTATACAGATGTATATATATATACATATATACATATATATATATATATATACATATATAAATATTAAGATAAAAAGTAGTTACCGTATGTGCTGTTGGTGTACGCTAAAAAAACGGTTGCATACAATTTTATTGTGTACCTTCCACGTGCACTTTTCGAAATTTCTGATTAAAATAGAGGACACAGATCTAATGGGTGAAGTTTTGGGTCGAAATTTATTTCCAACATAGTGCAAATTCAGTAAAGACTTGTTTCACACCTCTCGTGTAACTCCACAACTTCTGTATATAAAATGCAAGTCAACGATTTTTTATACCCTGAACCCATTAAAAATGGGTAAACAGGCTAAATTGTATTTGTGCAAATGTATGTAACAGCCAGAAGCATCTCCGACCCCATAAAGTATATATATTCTTGATCAGCAGCAACAGCCGAGTCGATCTGGCCATGTCCGTCTGTCTGTATGTATGAACGCAAGGATCTCAGAACCTATAAGAGCTAGAGACTGAAATTTTGGCTGTAGTTCCTCCTAGTCCCCGCGGAGATCGAGTTTGTTTCCGATATTCGATAACTTGCCCCGTTTTCAAGCAATCGATAAAAATCGATATCGAAATCCTTTTTTTTGAGCAATTTTGGTAAATAATAAGAGCTAGAGTCGCCAAACTTGACATGCAGCTTCTAGAATAGTATATATATATCACGTATCTTTCATTTTGTAGCACGTTTTAGGATTAGCTACCGCAAATTACAAGAATTTCTGTATACATGTACACACACACATTCATGCGCGTCTGCTTTGAATTCTATCAACAGCATTGCAATTGTGATTGTATTGCTTCTGTGCTGCTATTTTAATTGCTTTTTTTCTCATTAAAACCCAATTATTGGTGTGGCTTTTGAGTAGAGCCGTCGGCAAGAGTTCGAACCCTGCCAAGGGAACAATTAATTTAATTTTTTTTAATTTTTCTTTATTACTACTAAAGCAAACGAGCGCGTAGCGCAAGCTGCATTTGGTGTTGGATGAAGATGGTTCAGTGTATCACCTAGTCGGGAACTCCCGACTAGAACCTCTACTTGTTTTTTTGTCCGATCATTTTATATGAATGAATGCGGTTTTCAGCGATTTTGTGAATTCCAAGCGAGAACTGTAGTGAATTACGGGAAAACAGTTGTTTGCATATTTTTACTTACTATCCGACCGAATTGAAACTTATTTTTAAGGTCCTAGTTTTAATTTTTCTTGGACACCTGTTTCACAATTTTCCTAGAAACAAATAGAGTTGATGGAAAATGTGAGACAAAACTTTTAGTTCTTAATTCGATGGTCTTCAAATTAATTTTCAAATATCTGTGAAAAATATATATCTAGACTTGGAATTCAAGGTGGTACTGTTAGATTTACATTTTACAAACTTTAACGCAATAAAATTTCTCGACCTACGGCGAATACATACATATATATTTATGTATTAACAAGTGAGAGGATCTAGTCGGGAGCCTCTTCTACCAACACCAAATTCAGCTCGCGCTCCGCGCTCGTTTGCTTCAGCGGTAATAAAAATATATTACAAAAAAAAGTGTTTCCTCGATAGGTCTCGAACTCGAAATTATTTTAAGATTATATTTTTTTTTCATTTCAGTCGGTTGAAGGGGAAAATCATGAGAAAGCAGTTGAATTATTAAAGCAAGCGGTTGGTTCCGTAAAGCTTGTGGTACGTTACACACCCAAGGTTCTTGAAGAAATGGAAATGCGGTTTGATAAACAACGTAATACACGTCGTCGTCAATAAAGCTAACAGAAATGTATCTTAAAATTACAACAACAATTTTAACATGCCTTATGAATCTCAAATTACATAATGCGCTCTTCAGTTGCCGTTACAAGGGTTGCTGCCTTATATAAAAAACTAGTGTGAAGTCGACCAAATACAATAAATTTGTTTTAACTAACTTTTTAGCTTATGTCCGCTGAACGATAATCAACTTGAGTTTATATATTTACTTGTTTGCCAGAAATACAATATTTTTACCTTAAGTTTCAGTTGTAAGATAAACGAGTTTACTGTGATTCCTTAATTGATACCCAGTTTATATCCTACTCTTAATGTTGCCAAAACTTATAGTAGTCAAAAAAGATCAATAATGAATAATTTGAAATTTTCCAAATGTCTGTTGATTTCGATAAAAAATAGTATTAAAAAATTAAATATATTAACCTTTTTATCCAATTTATTAGGCAGCAATCCATCCTCGTATTGTATTCTTAAGTGTCTAAAATATCAAGTTGCTTATGTGTTATATTAATAAATTGCTTTTAAGAATGCAATAATTAGCATACCCGTCGGCATAAAACATAAACATATTTCTTGTACACAATTGAACACAATTATTGCATCTAATTTATTGGTTTAATAAGGTGCTTAAATTATTATTTTTATTTTGCATAATAACAACATTAAAAATTTTTGTTTTAAGAATCTAATTTCGAGTTAATAATATAACTTAAGATTTGAAGGTCTAGGCAATAAACGGACTTTCAAAAAGAGCTAAAGTTTGTACATTAACTTGCATTTGCTAAAAGTCGCTAGCATTAGCTTAACATAATCTATTGCTGACAATGATATAAACAGTCGGTTGAATGTAGTTGTGAACAAATTGCGATTTCTGAAGCACGGGTGCCTTTGAATAGAGGGTATATTAGCATGCTGGAGTACACCGCAAACTTGTTCTATTAAAGAGCTAAGAAATTAAAAAATGCTTTAAAAGTCTATGCTTGTTTAGCATTAGCAGATCTTTTTGGCGAATTTCTGCTGAGGATGTATGTTATGAGACATATGTATGCCATAACTCGGAGTGACTGGTTTTACGAACTTGTTCCGTTCAGCCAGTCCAGAATATAGTTATTTTCGATGATTGCACTAAATATAGGTTTCCGTTTCTCAGCATCGATAGTATCCATCTACAAATCATTGTAGCGTTGTTGGCAGGGCCATTGGGTCACGGTATTATTTTATATTGAATAATGGACATTCTGTTACCAACAGTGTAATAGAGTGATGTTGCAGCCAGTACAAAATATTCGACGATGATTGGCACCAGAAATCCCAACAGATCGAAAGTCTGAAAATGAGTATCAGAGGATGCTCTCCAAAATACATATTGATAGTTGTACATAACTCGAAAGTCTGAAAATGAGTATCAGAGGATGCTCTCCAGAATACATATTGATACTAGTGTAAAATAATAAAACAGTTTTCCTTTAATTGATAGTTTATTGGCAAACGTCCTAAGACGTTGATGATATATTTTCGACTGATGTGTCGTTCAATTATATGTTTGTTCTTAAGTCTAACATTAGAGTTTTTGTATATAAGTCTCAGTCGCTGAGTACAGCGGCAGAGCGGGAGCATGTATATATGCATACATTTAAAGCATATACATTGAGCATATATATATATATATCGCAAGACAAAGGAATGGTATTCGGCAGAAAATGCAGATGTTGCATATTCTGCGCTATGGTCACGCCACTTATAAGCGGACGATCATATTTCGAATGCACTTTGGATTGCGTTATGTTTAGCAACAAAGTGTCGCTAAATGGGTTATTGTTTATTTGATCTGATATAACCTTATATTGGTTGGGTATGTATTATATATATGTTGCTCAAGCTACAATAGTTACGATCCGCTGGATTGACTAAAACTTCTCTGTACATATTTGTGTGGCCGCTGTGATGACGATGAGCTAATCAAAAAACAAAGGTGAAGTATGTACAGGTCTTATACTGTTGGTCTAACGAGAAGCAAATCAACCAATTAATGTAAGGATTCCATAGTGTACCATGCTTCAATAGCGCCCATTAAATTCGTCGATCCACTGCTGGCTTTAAGAAAAACAATGGTATGGTATGTAAAAGTGTGGCTCAATTAATCTTGGATTCGTTCCTAAAGTCAAGTGGCCGAGATCATCATATTCATTCATGAAGTTTATATATAAAGATTAATCCGGAGGCTGCTGACTACGGCGCGTCTCGACGATGAGCAACATCGTTTGAATTTCCAAGGCACGTTGAATCTCCCTTGAAACGTAGAAGCACAAAAATCTGGCTGTCGACCATCTGCTGTGTTGTCTTTGCGTACATTTCTTGACATAACTGATGCTCCGGATCAATTGACTATAAATTATTTTATCCAGCCTCAACATTCTTCAATTAAGCATGATTGTTTAGACGACTGATAATTATACGTGAAAGACACAACCCACCCAAGTAAAATTTGCTAGAGGACTGGCAAATCTTCTCCCATGATGACGATCTGTCCAAATGCTAGACATTCAAAAAATGCATTTATACCAGTGAATAATTGTCCGCAAGTGGCGAAATCGCAGGCAAGCAATCATCCGATATCACTGGTTAGCTTGTGTCCGGCGCATTGCACGATTTGCTCCGCAACATGGGACTTATAAAAATTACTGATGATATGGTTAGTATTTATTAGACCGTCTACTACAGACCATATAAACTTGAAAAGAGAAACATTCGAGTCAGGCGGATCACTGGTTAACTTGTATTCGAGGCACTGCCTTTAGATAATGCTCACTAGGGTATCAAAGGGAATTGCTCCATGTGCGAGTTAGGATATGAATCCCCTATATTAAGAGAGGATGTCGTTGGGACTTGCTCCGTGGGCGATCAGGATTGGGAAATATTATTCCAACTGGGGGAAGGCTAATTATTAGAGTCTTCTGGAGTATGACGGTTACCGCACGCGAGGATCCCAATTTAAGACCGGAAGGGCAAAAAACAATAATTGTTTCTGTACAGATTCAATGAAGCGTTGATGAATGGAATATTGTGGCCACCAGACACATGACGCATACTCGAGAATAGGTCGTACAAGAGATATACATTTCTGGCCTTGTTGACCACGGTTGTAGAATGAAAGTCGAATTTAAGTCTATGATCACGAACGACACCTTTATAATTTACTTCATTGCTGATACTGTTGACACATTCCAGCTGGCAAATGTGCAAGAAACCATTTGCGGTGAGTTTCTATAAGAAATAAAAAGTTAACTTGACACTAAGAGCGAAAGGCATCAATGTTCGCTTGTAATAGATTATATGAGGCGATATCCATAAATGTGTTACGGAACTGTAGTCCCATCCCTGGCCCGCAGTAGCCGAACAAACCTACACAACACCACGCAAAACGAACTACATAATTGATTAACATCAAACAGCCGGAACTTCTAACAAATGAACAACATAAACAGCTGTGACAACAAGAAATGTAATCAACAAAGGTGAGACGCTAACATAAATTAACAAAGAAAACACTACTGATCCACTTTACTTTTCCAGATCGGGTGCTGGTTCCGCACCCAGCGTACCCGCCCTACCTGAAAAGATCACCTACTCTCGTCTACCTCATTTTGGCCACTGGATGGCCTTCATCAGCTCGTGTCGGCAGTCATACCCACTCTCCCCAACATTTGTTAATTAGCATTATAATAATTGCATTATCTTATAGTTATGAACAGTGAATATTATATCGTATCTCATTTATCTTTACAGGATATCTCCACTCTGCTAATCATAAATTTCTGCAAGCGGACAATTGATCTTATTGCTTATTTCATTATCTTTTTAAGAACATCTCCAACCTTCTTTATATAATTTTATGCAAATGGACATCAGTCTCAGGCACGTATAATTATCTGCATTATCTTATAGTTATTGATAATTAATATTATTTTCTTAAATTTCATTTATAGCCGAGCAATAACAAAGAAAGGACGTCACCGAGAGCGGATGCCAACCGCCGCAGGGAACAACGTTGGAGAACAAATATATAAATCTTAATTGAGCACTTGGCTCTCAACATATTCATGCATGTATATAAGCATGAATTACCACGCTGAAAAAAAAAAAATTGATATGCTGGAAAAATTCACGTATATAATAATTAATCTGAATTAGATCGCTTTAACACACTAAGCCCACCTAAAGAGCTCTCTGGGGAGCTAGGGTCGATGTAAGTAAATGATTTTTTTTTATATATATGGATATATGTATTGATGGTGTGGAATTCATAATAACTTTTCCCTTTTTTTTTCCTTTCTTTTTAGGTTTCCCTTGCATCGGCCATAGCCTTGGGGTCCTCCCTTACTTCTCAAACTGTTAAATATGTGTTTTCCCTTTTTAAATTAAATTTTAAATTAAACAGAAGGCAAAGACAAACTTATTTTAATCATACAAGATTCTCTTGTTCTTACTTTAGAGCAACTCAACTGGAACCCAGAATTTAACTGCCCTTCGGGTTCCCTGGTTCCTGCCTCTGGGCTGGGGTGGTAAAAGGCTCGAAAGAGTGTGCGTGTGCACAAGTCGCAAAAATTGAACATTTAAAAGTTTTGGTCTTTTCTTAGAATTCTTCGACAACCCGACGATGAACTACCCTTGTAGAAATACGACTTTGTTTGTTTTTTTATTTTAAGCAAAATAGGTCCCCTCAGTAAACAATAAATTAGAATATAAAATATATATATTTTATTTGGTATAATTTCAGAAGCTGTAAGGAGTGATTAACGGAGTCGAAAGCCTTACTAAAATTAGTATAGATGACATCATGTATGGTTAGTGGTAACAGATTTACGCTTCAAGAACCCAGAAGAATAGCGGATGATTTGGAAATACTTCTATAGTTTTCGACTGACGATACTGACTTGTGGGATGATGAAGTGTTTACAGAAAATTCAAAAAGTTTTAAAACAGATTTACATAGTGCTGCAGCACAGTTCCTGAGTACACAAGAGAACACCATC